GGAGGAGGAGGAGCTGGTATTGGTGTCATGGACATTTTTATTATTGTCATTATTTTAATGTGTGTCATTTGGAAAAAGTTTTTATGATGCTTCACTTGGAGATGAGATCTAAAGTATTTATCTCCAGGATATTGGAGATAAGATCTAAACTATGAATTTTCTATCATTTTGTCCAGAATAACATTTTTCTTCTCTGTTTATATTTATAGCTTTTAATTATGGACCATTAATTTGTATGTTATATTTACATGTGCCCTTACAAATTTTTAAGAGATGTCTATCTTCTATTAAACAGAGCATTTGAATGTAAAAGATTGGTCTCTTGAAGTATTTCTTTTCAAGGCATATCCAAATCCAGCCTCCAAGTTGGAACGGGATAAAGGCATTCCTAACAGGGAATGCCTGCATCTCATAAATGAGCTTCCTTGGGTATTAAGACTTTCCGTGGAGATTTTTCTCTTGATCCCACTGCTGTCACAGGTGTGTTTGGTGAGGACATGGAAGTGGGCTTTTTCTGTGGTGGCTCTCAGTCTGTACAATTCTCTTCTTCAGAAGGCTATAGTAAGTTGCTCCCATCTTTTTGTTCTTTTAAACATATATTTAAACATATATTACTATGTGTTGCATGTTAATATTAGAACTTAGTGCTTTTTAAATTTTATCTGCTTTTCAATCATTTTGACACTTCCTGGGGTCCCTGCATTGAGGGCAAGGTGTAATAAAAAGGAAATAAATGATAGATAAATAAATAAGTACCTTCCTGTAATCAAATACATGCTTAACTATCATACTTAAAGGCTTAGTCCTCAGAGTGCTGATCCACATGTGCTTGCTAAAAAGCTTCAGCTCAATTCCTCTGCCCCACAACCACACAAAAATGACTTCACATTGATATAAATGTCTATTTGTACGCAAATCCATTTTTTATTATGTCTCGAAAATAGTGAGACTAAGCCCCTGTTCCCCTCCCCCCATGTGTTTACCAGGACCAGCCCCCCCCCCCAAAAAAAAGAAAATCCATGCTGTAGTCAGGGCCGGTGCCAGGCTTTTTCACACCCTAGGCAAGACTAACTATGTGCGCCTCCCAACCAATTTTCAAAAACAGACAAATAATAGGAAAAACAAAGTACAAAGGTTGAAATTCTGAAATTTTTATTTTAAAAAACTGAGAGAACAAGTAATAGAACAGTCTTCAATTTTTTTCTCAAATACTAAACAGTTTCAACACACAAATAATTTTGAATAATCCTATGAACTGTAATGTCTCTTAAATGTTTCTATTTTTGCCACATCAAAATCTCATTTTGCATGCCTTTTCGTTTACAAATGTTGTCACTGATTTCTTCAGGTCAATGGCTGATGCTTCGGCATGTTCAATTGATACAGTTGCCAAACCAACTAGTCTACTTTGAAACATTGTTGAGTGTAAATATGTTTTTATAAGCCTGAGCTTTGAGAAACTGTGTTCACCACTAGCCACTGACACTTGAAGGGTGAGAAGGATCCTTAGAGCAACAGAAACATGACGCACACTATCCAGGAATTTTTGTTGTACTATGAAGAGAAGTACTCCTTGTGGTGGTATAGACTTTGGAAGTCTTCGAGCTATTGCTATAAGTTCACAGCACAGATCATCAGCATCAATTTCTTCGTTTCCATTGTGCATCAATGCTTTTCCAAATTCTTGCATTTGTACATCTTCAGTACATTTTTTGTTGATCTTGTATATGTCATACATGAAGCCAAACAAGGAATCATATTGCTGTAGCTGTTGGAATCTCTCTTCAACAGATTGTACGGCCATGTCTAAGATAGCATAATAGAAACTTATTTTGAATTTCTGCTTTGGATCTTGTGGTGCCTCCTCTTGTGCTTCATACTCAAACTGCTTTTTTGTTCTCCTTTTTCTAACTTGTTCGGTCTCAAAGTTTGGTAGTATTTCTAGCTCCTTTGTAATCTCAGTAGCATCCATCAAAACTTGTTGAAAACCCGCATCACACCTACAGCCCACAAGGTAATTCTTAGTCACTTGTGACTGGCTTGTAGTTGAATTTAAATAATTATCCTTATTTTATTACAGCTTGCTTGTAAGATTAATTTCAAAAAGAATGTTGTGTCATGTAACAAGGGATACCACAAATTTGAATTTATAAATTGCATCAGCAAGGGCCTTAGCTTCAATTTGAAAAGTATTTCCAGATAAAATTCTTGAGACTTGTGTCATTGAAGATCTCTATTAAGGCATCATACAGTGTATATTACCAAGATGATATCTCAGGGGTTTTAAAGCATTGATCCCACTCTCCGAGAATTTGCCAATACTGAATCAATGTAGAAAAATAATTATAAATCTGTTGAATCAAACTGAAGGAAAGTGTTGCTTCCAGACAACATTTAGCAGCATCATTGACTGCCAAGTTTAAAGAATGTGCATTGCAAGGCACAAAAAGGCACATGGATTTATGTCTAGGACTCTCTTTTGTACACCATTTTCATGTTACTCCCATTATCATAACCTTGACCACGCAGATCCTCAATTGGTAATCCCATTTGCTCAAGCTGTCCATGAAGAGTTTCTGTCATAAAAGCATCTGTAGTGTCCTTTAGTGGAACAAATCCCAAGAAATGTTCTTTTATCATAACCTCAGGTTTAGACATCTCAGTATCTGATGGTTTGATCATATTGACAAAACGTACAATCGTTGTCATTTGTTCAGCATGACTAGCATCAGGTTAGTCAATTGAGGATCAGGTGTGCAATCCAGAAAAACTGAATAGCATTTGGCTAACTTTATATCTGCTAAAATTGTCGGCTTTATAGCACCTGCTAGAAGTTGTATAAGTTCATTTCGGATATCTTTTCCTAAGTACTGAACCATTGTTTCTTCATTTTTAACTCTGGGCAAAAGTTCATTCATGATAGGATCAAAAAGGCCTAAATAGTCTACAAACTTCAAAGATTTTCCATTGTTAGCACTAGACAACCTTTCAGTAGTACCACGGAATGCCAAGTTTTGCATGCCAAGACGTCTGACCAAAGCAATCAAGCGTTCCAAGATTAGTTGCCAATATTGTTCTTCTTGCCTGCGTTTCTGCTGGTTAATATCATCATCTATTTTTTCTTTATATAAGGGCAATTGAAGTTCTCTCCAGGTCTGATAGCTTTCTAAATAGAGAGGATTTCTCTCATGTGAAGAGAGAATTGCTCCAATTTTCTTCCAGTCTTTTGAACCTTGTCCTTGTAGCACTGATCCGCTATTTACTTTGCTGAAGAGCTTCCAACAAAAACAAAAAACCACATCTTTTGAGGTAGAATATATCAACCCTTCAACCCAACCATTAGATGGCTCTCTTGCTCACCTTGAGCCCTCCTGTATCTGGACATTCATTATGAAATATACATAGCCTTGCATAATTAGTCAGCATTCCATAACAGAACAATGGGAAAGTACACTTCTTCCTGTGAAGATTCTGGTGAACATCTGCAAGGCATTCTTAGTGCCAGATGTACAAGGGTACCTCTGATTCTGTTGTCTGAGAAATTCTCTGGTTATTATGTTTCTTTTAGGAAACTCCATACACTGGTTAACCCTGTAGTACGTTTTGCACATGAACACAGAGCAGAGCTCAGAATGAGAAACTGGCATCTCACATTGTGAAATCAACCAGAGAGGGTGGCAGCTTCAGTGCGAAACAAAATGTAAACAGCCTCATTGAACTCACGAATATTTCTGCAAGCCTAGGGGAAATATGAAAGGCATTCTGAAGACTTGCACTGTGAATCTGACCCACAAGATTTGGATGGAAGGATTTCGTTACCCAAGCTCAGCATGGTGATATAATCTCAGAATTTGTATCTCTGCTGTATCTCTCTGTTCTTCTACATGTGCGAGTGTGGCCACTAATCTCTTATTAACATTAACCAGAGGACTGTCAGAACAGTTCATAGGTGAAATTTTGTGGACAATACTAACAACCAAAGGTGTGACTAGCTAGGAGGAACCACAAAGACTTGACTGAAAGTTTAGGTAAATGCTGTGTTGATGCATTTAATGTGTGGCTCTTTGTACCTTTGTTATCTCAGCTTATTGTTCAGGCCAATTTTAAGAGACAACCTAACAATAAAATCACGTTAATGTTCAAATTCTGCCAACCTAGCAGTTTGAAAGCAAGTAAAAATATGAGTGGATAAATGGATACCACCGTGGTAGGAAGGTAATGGCGTTCCATGTCTAGTTGTGCTGGCCACGTGACCATGGAAACTGTCTACGGACAAACACTGACTCTATGACTTGGAAACGGGGATGAGCACCGCCCCCTAGAGTCAGACTAAATGTCAAGGGGGACCTTTACCTTTATGTTCAAAAGACATTATTGCAGGAGTCCTTTCTGTCTGACATATAAGATTTACAGAGAAAGACCATGTTTATGTCATGAACACCAATGACAAAACAAAGCAAGCTGATCTGAAAGGTACCAAAAGTGGTACATGTTCTTGCTTCAACCATCAAACGCAATAAGCAC